ACACTTATTAAAACATCTGCAACCTGCATTAAAACATCTATTAAAACCATCTATTAAAACATCTGTTAAAACATCTATAACCTGCAGGAATCATCTGAAATGGGACCAGATTTTGGTTCCGTTGCCTCCAGAACGGTTTAAGATCCTCTTATTTTCTACAAAAAATGACCCAAACCTCCCCCCCCGCCCCAGAACTACCAGGAGGGCCTGCGCTACATCGGCCGCCTGCCCTTCGAGCAGGCCGAGAGCAACATGAAGCGCTACGGAAAAACCCTGATGCACCACGTCCCTGAAGGCACCACGCTGCTGCTGAAGGGCCTGTGCACCGACTACCAGCCCAGCGGGGAGGCCTCCGACCGGGGCCGCGGACACAAGGTGAGACAGGGCTCAGACTCTACAAAAACCCTTCTGGTTTCTGTACATGTAAAAGTATGGTTGTGTCTCAATCCGCCTACTTTCACACTTCAAACACTCAGCTTTAAGTATATAGTATACAGTGGGGGAAATAAGTATTTGACCCCTTGCTGATTTTGCAGGTTTGCCCACTTACAAAGAATGCAACGATCTATAACTTTAATCATATGTACATTCTAACAGTGAAAGACAGAATCCCAAATAAAAAATTAAACCTGCAAAATCAGCAAGGGGTCAAATACTTATTTCCCCCACTGTATTTAATGACCACATCATAAGAACAACTATACATTTCAAATTATTTCACATTACAGTGCAATCTGTTACACAAATATTCATATACAGTGGGGGAAATAAGTATTTGACCCCTTGCTGATTTCTCAGGTTTGCCCACTTACAAAGAATGCAATAATCTATAACTTTAATCATGTGTACATTCTAACAGTGAAAGACAGAATCCCAAAGAAAATTGCAGAAAATCACATCAGATGAATTTATAAAAAATTATAACCATCTGATGAGGAAAAATATGCATTCTTTCTAGAAACTACCCACTCCTGAAACCTCCTGATTTATCTCCTGGATTCAGACTGAGGCGGCCCACAAAAACATGACTGAGTCATTTTTTTTCACACTTTGGCTGCTGATAGGCCCTCCACAGTCCCAAATGTACATAATCAAATGATTAACTCATTGACTGCCAGCCATTTTCAGAACAGAGTCCCATACTGCCAGAGTTTTTTGAGCATTTTGACTGATTTTCCAAGAGCCACAGAATAGTTTGTGCTATGACTATGTAAACACCGAACACACCAAAAGAAAGAGTAGACTCTCTTCTTTCATCAGGAAAAAAAAGTGTTTCTACCTTATTCCGTTCTTCCTGGACTTGCGTCTCACCGGCGACATGTTCTCTCATAGAACCGTTACCTTTTTCTTATTTGCCTACAGTCTATGCTCATCTCCCATCAAAAGTGGCACTGCCCCCTAGAGGGTCAATTTGTTACTACATACTCTGTCTAGAAGCCTGATATTTACGGACAAGCTTTAGCAGATCGTCCCCCAGACACTCTCGATGAAAAACATAAAAGACGTGTATAGACGTCTTTGGCAGCCAATGAGTTAAAAACTTGGTTTTGCATCATATCTCCCCTTTAAGGCAAACTCGGAGGAATTCATCCCGATATTTGCCAACAACCCTCGGGAGCTGAAGGCCTTCCTGGAGCACATGATTGAGGTGGAGCCGCGCTCCCCCCAGGGCGTCTACGACACGCTATTGGAGCTCCGTCTGCAGGACTGGGCGCACGAACAGGACCCCGAGGTGAGTGGGGGGGGGGGGCAGTGGGGGGGGGGCTATAACAGAGCCGGTTGGGGTCTGAACTAGGGGTGGGACGGTTCACAAAATCCACGGTTCGGTTCGATTCACGGTTTCGCGGTCACGGTTTTCGGTTCGGTTCGGTATACGGTGATTGTTAGGAAAATCTATTATGTCTTGTATAGTCAGGTTAAAACTAGGGATGGGGATCGTTAATATTTATTGATATCGATACTTTTATCGATACTCCTTATCGATCCGAGTCTTTATCGATACCACTATCGATACTTTTCTGTTATTTGGTGGAAAGACGATGTGACAATATTTAACAAATAAATAATTGTATTTTAAATTAAATGTAATTTTTAATAAATGTTGGCATCGGTAGTTTAAATATATATTCTAAAGTAATTAGAGCAATATACAACTGTATTACTCATGTTTCTCGCCAAAAACTAAATATCCCTTTTCTTTACGTTACACTTAAACGCATCATGATAACCTAATTGTCGTTTTACTGAGCCAATCTGAACACATCATCACGCAGCACGTCTGAAACTTTATTTACTTTTCAAGCTAACTAGCTTGTATGCTGCCGATTACAACACAGATTTCACAATTACTATTGTAACAATAAAAAAAAACGACCAGACTCGATAGTGGTATCGATAAGCCCAAACGTTATTGATTTTCGGGTTTTGAAAAAAGTGGAACCGGGTCCTTGATAGAACCGGGTTTCGATCCCCATCCCTAGTTAAAACTGAAAGAAAAAAGCAGTCTGACATTTGATACATTATTGGGACAGTCTTAGGTTAAAAGTAGGTGAGATTCTGGCATTGCAAGAGAGGAAACAGTGCTAGTTCCAACATGTGCTTCCCTCTAAATGCAAAGTGGTCCATACAGCAGACCTAGAAACTGCTGCTGGGTCTGATTTTTATCGGCTACGCTGCTTCTTCTTCTTCTTGTTTCCTACTGGTGGTTGGCTTTGGGCGCAGTAGCGCCCCCTTCTGCTCTGGAGTGTAAACGCTTCCCTCTGAGAAAAAGGAGCAGCAGGAACGCAACACACGCAAACCGAACCGAGACAGTCCAACCCAACGGTTCAGACGGTTTTCAGAAACCGTCCCATCCCTAATGTCTGAACGGGGTCTGAATGGAGTTTTTTTTCCGACGTCCGGCAGAGAAAAAAGATCCTGCAGGGCGACGCCGTTTCCCTCCTGAGGAGCGACAACACCGTGTTCGACAAGGCGCTGGTGCTCTGCCAGATGCACAACTTCAAAGAGGGCGTCCTCTACCTCTACGAGAAGGGGAAACTGTAAGCAAAAACCCGCACGGCTATAAGGCCAGATGTATCATATTTGATTCATACGGTTTAACCCTATATGTGTCATATTTGATACGGTTTCTGAAGTCTTTTGGATGTGAGACTTTCTGCATCATTCAATGGTAAAAGCTTTGCTCCAACCCCTGTTGAACACATTCAGATATACCTGATAACAGCCAGTAGAAGACTACACCAACATATATTTTTGACTTATTGCACGCTAATTTGATCAAAATATTTTCTGTTTTTTTTCTTCATATGTTGTTGACGGGCCAAAGAAAGACTTCAGACTAAAAAAAATCCAGTATTCTTCCTATTTAGTAGATAAATGACTTTAAACTTGAACACATGCTCTTAATACATGCAAAAACTGCTGGAAAACTCACATATTTTACCACTTGACACAACTTGAATTTCATCCAAAGGGATAAATAAAGTCTAGTTTAAACTAGGCTTATTCCGATCCGATATCTGGAAAAAAACTGTGTATCGGCCGGCAGGAGAAAATGCAGATCCAGTTTTTATTAATGTCCGATCCGCCACTAGCATTAGCATTAGCATCTCCTAACCCACAGGTCTGTGTCCTAACCATTAAGTTGTTATCAGAGTAAATCCCTGTTCAACATGAGTCTGAAACCTAAGTAAGTAGAATAAATAACTTTAAACTTTAACCATTTAAAGCCTGATCCAAGAAAAACAGGAAGAATATTGGACTTTTTTTTTGTCTGAAGTCTTTCTTTGGCCCCTCAACAACATATGAAGGAAAAAAAACAGAAATTATTTTGATCAAATTAGCGTGCAATAAGTCAAAAATATATGTTGGAGTAGTCTTCTAGTGGCTGTTATCAGGTATATCTGAATGTGTACAACAGGGGTTTGAGCAAAGCTTTTACCACTGAATGATGCAAAAAGTCTCAGATCCAAAAGACTTCAGAAACCTATATATCAAACATGACACATTTGGCATTATAGGGTTAATACATCCCGGGACGTCCCTAGCTGGCCCTTTAACCCCAGACTGAGCAGGTTTTACTCCAGACTATCCCTTTGTGTGCAGCTACCAGCAGATCGTGCACTACCACATGCAGAACGAGGAGTATGAGAAGGTGGTGGAGGCCTGCAAGCGCTACGGGGACCACGAGGGCTGCCTGTGGGAGCAGGCCCTGGGCTATTTCGCCCGGAAAGAGGAGGACTGCAAGGCCTACATCAGCGAGGTTCTGCTCCACATCGACCAGAGGAACCTGATGCCCCCCTTACTCGGTAGGCCGCCCCCTCCCTCCTCTCTCCACTAGAGATGTGTCGTGAAATATCCTTTCAACGACTTGTCGAATTATTCTAAGTCTTGCAAAAATACTAAGTTCTTGAAGGAGAAGC